GAAATTCCGATAAGATGACCGATTATAAAGAGAGACGTACCAGTCATATTCTTTAACCTTCTTAGAATTTCAAACCGAGCCGTGGATAAAAGCATTGGTTATAAATATATCTAGTTGGCCTATCAGTCGTGAGTTCAGTCCCTGGGGTGGATGGTGCTGATAAATTGCATAAATCTACTTCAGTTGGCAAGCAGCAGAAAGTGGGGAAATATAGTTTCTTCTTCTTTTATGTGCCGTATTCTTTTAGGACGTAGGCGATCATGGCTCTCCACCTTCTCCTGTCCCTTGTAGCTCTCAATAAGTTTTATCTTTTTGTTATTTCTCCCAAATCTTGTTCTGCTATCCACTTGCTTAAGCCCGTTACGTATGTCACGCGTTGCTTTCCCTTGTCCCTCTTTCCTCTATCTGCCTTGTGACTATCAGATTTTCCAAGCCCTCAGTACGTGTTCCAGAAATTTCAAATGCTTCTTCCTGGTGTTAATTATAAGTTTCCTCTTTGTTTGCATCTTCTCCAAAATCTCATCTTTGTTCACATGTTCGGTTCATTGAATCATTAACATCCTCCTGTTACTTCGAGTATCTTATTCATCCTCGAGGAGATTGTCCAACATTCGCTGCCGTAAAGGAGGATATATATCACATAGCTGTTCAGTACTCTTTTCATTGTTACAAACGAGACCCTCCTGTATCTGGCTAGCTTTTGGAATGCGTCTTTGAATCTCAGCCTTGCACTTTCCGTCCTCGATTAAAGCAATTCCCAGACATTTAAATTCCTGTACCTGCTTGATTTTAGTGGCCCCGTCCTGTAAATCGCATTTCGGGTTTCATCTTTTTGCTGAGGGCCATGCATTCTGTCTTCTTGTATTTTATGCTTCGTCTCGCTCTCCTTCATTAACTTCTGTAGGAGGTCTTATAGTTTCCTTTATGTGTCTGCTATCAGCATTGTATCAAGTTCCATTGATATGAAATATCACTAAGCAGGGAAATGTTATGCAAAACCGTCAGTTTGTATAGTAATAACCTCACACCAGGATTAGATCGGTTCGTCTGTCGTCCGGTTCCTACTTCTTCCCTGTCTTTTGAACAGGTGTAGATGTCTAACTCTTGCTTTCTTCTTAGGATTAGATTTCCGGTCCCCTCTAAAGTCTTCTTCAGCGTTATACTTCTAACATCCCCACCCGAACTCTGAAATTTTATTTCTTATTACTATTTGTTTATTTATTTCTCCTCAATAAAAGGAGATAGATTTGCCTATCGTCCAGTTCACAATCCACACCATTATTTTGAACAGGAGTTGAGGTTTATCCTTGGTTTCCTGTTTAATATTGGGTTTCCGGTTCCTTCTAAAGTCTACTTCAGCTGTTTGTAGAGGTTTATCAGCCCAAACACTGAAAATGTTATTTACCTTTCTTTTTCTTTTTTCTCAATATAAAGTAGATATAATTGGCCTATCGTACGGTTCAAATAACTCCCTGGTCTTTTAAGCAGGAATTAAGGTTTATCCATTGTTTTCTGTTTAGAATTAGGTTTTCAATTTCATTTAAATTCTTTTCATTCTCTTTCACACCCAGTAGCCTATATCTTGTTTTGGATTGGGTTTACGGTACCTTCTAAAGCTTTGTCTCTATATTTCTAACACATCCACCTGTATTCTGAAATTTTATTTATTCATTTATTTATTTATTTATTTATTTTTCTTCAGGAGAAGTATTTAGGTTCGCCTATCGCCCGGTTCACCCTCCTCTTCGATTTTTTGAACATTAGCCGTTTATTCCTTGTTTCCTATTTATCAATGAGTTTCCGGGGCATTCTAACGTCCTTGCCTACTCTTTCCCTCCTGGTAGCCTTATAGTGGCATTGTTACCTTCGTTGTGATAAATTGATTAAAATTAAACAAATAAAACTATTCTAAATATTTCCAGTATAAGCTTAGTGCGAACACAATTTCCAGCGCCCCCTCGTGGCAGTAACTGTAAGTTATGTCTGATGTTGCTGAAATGAGCGCGTGGTTCTTGAAAAAGGCCGGAGGCCTCTTGTCTGAACAACAAAATATCAACAACAACAACAAAAAGGAAATGAAAGTCTAATCACTGAGAATAAATTCAAAGTTCGGGATATTTGGAAAGAGCATGATTTTAAACAAAAGTCAACAGATAAAGGGGGTCGTTGAAGAAGAAGAAGCAGCCACGGGAATTGTTCGTTAAATGGCCGTTTGTAAAGTTCTAGAGATACTTCAAACACAAGATCTGAAAGGGAAGAGGCGGGCGGGAAATCCTCTATTAAGCTTCGGAGATTTTTGTACTTTTTAAATTGAATTTTTCGCCATAATTAAGATGCCATTTTTTATGCCGTGAAAAACAGAAAAAAGAAAAAAAGAGAGAAAGAAAGAAAACTTAAAGTGATAAAGAAAGTTAAAATAAAGAGAGAAATAAAATTTAAAGGAAAAAACAGAAAGATCGGGAATAAAGAAATAAATAAAAAGAAAAGGAAAGACCAGTAAAAGCAATAAAAGAAAGAAAGAATGAAAAAAAAGGAAGAAAAAATAAGAACGGAAGAAATATTAAAGAGAGAAAAGGAATTTAGAGGAAGAAAGAAAGGAAGCTTAGAACAGAAACAAAAGAATAAAATAAGAAAGAAAATGTAATAAAAAAGAAAATAAGATGAACGGAAAAAGAAAAAACAGAAAGAAAGAAAGAAAGGAAGCACCCAAAGAAAAAGAAAGAAAGAAAGAAAGAAAGAAAGAAAGAAAGAAAGAAAGAAAGCACCCAAAAAAAGAAAGAAAGAAAGAAAGTAAGAACGAAAGAAAGAAACAAACAAACAAAGTATAACTAGATATATTTACACTAAGAAAGAAAGAAAGAAAGAAAGCGCCCAAAGAAAGAAAGAACACGAAAGAAAGAAAGAAAGAAAGAAAGAAAGAAAGAAAGAAAGAAAGAAAGAAAGAAAGAAAGAAACAAACAAACAAAGTATAACTAGATATATTTACACTAAGAAAGAAAGAAAGAAAGAAAGCACCCAAAGAAAGAAAGAACACGAAAGAAAGAAAGAAAGAAAGAAAGAAAGAATTAAAGAGAAAAAGAAAGAAAGAAAGAAAGAACAGAAATGTAAAGATAAAGAAAAGAAATACAGAAAAATCAATAAAAGAAAATAAAGAAAAATTAAAACAAGGAAAGACATTTTGTTATTATACGAGTTAGTTTCAAAAGTCCCCAGAGAATACATGCAATGATCGCCCCGTTCAACGCTAACATACACGCTACTAACATCCATTTCTTGTTAATCTAATGCGTCAGTCTACTAGTGGGGCTATCAGCTATGAGCTAATACTATTTAATTATTCCTTTTTGTAGCTTTGTTTTGGAATGGTTCTGTGAACTGTTGAAAATTTCTAGCAGTTACCTCTCTTAGATTTTGATAACGAATCATTCAAATTGCTTCGCCGGGATTTTTGGCGAACTACAAGTCAAATACCGGTTTCTAGATGGAACACATTTTTCAAGATCGGTCAACTTTCTGTTAAATATGATTAGCATTCTGTCCAACTAGCAAAACTAACCTTTGCGGCCCTTCAGTTCTTCGTATATCTGAAATCAGTTAATCTGCCAGATGAGATTCCATAAATCTCCCGATATCAAATCGTATTTATAATATATTTAATTTTCTTAATCTACTCTAAAATGAAACAACTATTATATCCCTTTGATTAAGATGAAATCACAAGAGTCATGTGACGGCAGGTAAGTGACGTGAGTTGGTAGGGTGTCAAAACGGAAGTTACTATTTACTACGCGTAGAGATATGTCTGCCCGCATCATTTATTATATGGTTTCACCCAAAGCAAGAATTTTTAAAACCTTCCTTGGCCCGGCTTATAATGTATAATATATTTAGGGAGCACACATTTTTGATATAGGTTTGAAATGTCCAAACCATAAATGTGCATTTTGTAACTGAGGTTTGTTCGCTGCAATGTCTCTCGTTTCTGAGTACTTGGAGCTTAAAGGTGGTTTTACTGGGATAAATTGAATGCCGGTATTAAACAATGAGTTTATCGAACATAAGTCTGACAAACAATAAATCATTCTTTTTTCATTCTTTTTACGTATTTACTTGTCCTGAAAGAAAAGCAAGTACAAATGTTTAAAATGTTTTACTTCTCATTTTTATAAGTATATTCATTTCAGTAACTTTTTTATTCTTTACTTATTGACTTGAAGAATATGTAATAAAAATCGACAAGATGGCGCTTCATGTCTTTAGAAAAACTGAGATAAAAATTTTAAAAAAACAACTTAAAACGAAACAAAAAGGAAAAATCTTGAAAAAATAAAAGTAAGAATAAAAACTTTCTTTTTGAAAGATATTAGTTACCGAGAAAAAAAAAACAACGCGAATAAAAAAATCAAAATTTCGAAGCAGAAAAAGATTAGAAAGATCAAAATGAAAACTACAAAGAAAAAAAAGGATGTAAATCCTGTTTTTATCTCTTTATCTTATTGCTTACATATATATTCACCCACGGATTAGTTTTATCCAAGTCGAATTTGCGAAAGAATAGTAAAGAGGCAACTAATTATGAACAAATAAAGAAAAAGGAAAGGTAATGAGAAAAAAAAAAAATAAGCAAATCCGAGAACATCCGGTGATGATGATTAAGTGAACTTGAAGAATGATTACAAATGGAAGATGAATAATTCAAATGAATTAAAATAGAAAAGATGGAAGAACAATTGATGCATGAAGCAGACGATGGAAATATATTGTGGAAAATGGGGAGAAAATTACAATGAAGACATGAGAGATGAAGGAAAGAAGACCAGAGGATAAAAAGAAAAAAAAAATGATCTTTTGAAGAGAAATGAAAAAGGAAATAATATGAGAGAGAAAGAATTGGGTAAGAAAAGAATAAAGAAAGAAATCACGGAGAGCCAGGATAAGGGTTAGGCGTAAAAAAAAACATGAATGAAATTATACAATCAGTAAAAAAAACAAATAATATATCAAATAAGCTGAAATCTGAATAAAAAAGTGAAGGGATGAGGAAGTAAAGTTAAAAGGAGGAAGGAAAGAAAATAAAAATAATCCGAAGAAAGAAAGAAAGAAAGAAAGAAAGAAAGAAAGAAAGAAAGAAAGATAGAAAGAATAAGTTGTGCTTTTAAAAAAGAAACAAACAAAGAAAAAGAAGCATGTAAAGAAGGAAGGAAGGAAGGAAGGAAGGAAGGAACGAACGAACGAACGAACGAACGAACGAACGAACGAACGAACGAAAATTCGTGAAAGGTACGAAAGAATGAACCACGGAAAATAAAAATAAGCAGGAACTTTATAGATAGATAGATAGATAGATAGATAGATATGAACAGGTTGAGATAGATAGATAGATATGAACAGGTTGAGATAGATAGATAGATAGATAGATAGATAGATAGATAGATAGATAGATAGATAGATAGATAGATAGATAGATATGAACAGGATAGATAGATAGATAGATAGATAGATAGATAGATAGATAGATAGATAGATAGATAGATAGAAAAAGACGTGTGAAAGGAAGGAATGAAGGAAGGAAGGAAGGAAATCAATACAATAATGAAGAACCGGTAGAAATTAGTAGATGGAAAAAAAACGAATGAAGTTATAAAGAGCCGGAAAAAAACGCTAACGAAAGAAATAAAGAAAGAAAGAAAGAAAGACTTTGGAAGAAAACAGAAATATTAAAATAAATGCCAGCCTTTTTCTTTTGTAACGGACATTCGACTTGGTTTTGCTACTCTAATTAGTGCGCATGCGTGTTTCTGGATGTATATGACGTAAATTCAAATGAGTTCAACTCGGTTAGATAATTACATAATACGCTCGTTGCCGATCACAAGAGCGGTCACATCGCATGTATGGAAGCAGGCAATAACAAAAATCCCATTTGCAAATACCAATCAAGAGTTTTCTCCCTTGTGATCATAATTTGCTGTACAAGCCAAAATATATTTTGTGCATTGATTCATTTCATATATATTTTTAGTATATTTAGCGTAAATGGTAAAATATTTTACCCAGAAGTGACAGAGAAAATATCTTTATGCATATTGTGTCATGATAAAATGGTAAATCAATTCGTTTACATTGTATTACGATGATTTTAATACGCATATATATATATATATATATATATATATATATATATATATATATATATATAACTTACCCATGCCTTCAAAAATATTTTATCAGTATAATTTCTTTCCTTAATCATTTTACTCCAAGCAAAGTAATAAAGCCACTAAGACGCAAGGGGCTATTGAGTGTTAGAGAGTATAAAAAAGAAACAGAATTAGAAAAGATAACAATAAAAGAACAATAATTAAAAAGAGAGAAGATAAACGACTGAGATTGCATTTCAATTTTTGAAGATCAAAGTTGACTGGGAACCAATAAACTGTTCAGCTTAAAGTCGTAAGCTTAGAACTGACCGGTACATATAACCATTTTAACTGTAAAATGATTTTTTTGTTTGTCCCAGTCAAGTACTGTGGCTAAATTCATAAAGTCTAGGTACCCAAAAGAAAAGCAATGTTTGTTTTAAATAATACAAAAACGTGGCACAAGGCCAAACGTGAGGGTAGGAGAAGGCTTGTCTTCAATCTGTCCTATCTTAAACCTAGCAAGCGACGATTACTGACCCAAACATACCAGTGTCTCCCTGACACCAAAACAACACATTCTTACTTACCATTCTTACTACAGCCACCATAATACCTCATGTCTAAATGTAGTCTGAATTTTTTCCTATATGTACAATTTGTCTGCGGGCGGTCTGAAATAAAAATATTAATATTCAAGAGGAAAACCTACAAGACCATTTACTATAAAAGTATTTATAGAAAAGGCAGAGAGAAGCTATGTTACGGCGGTAGGAAAGTGACTGAAATCAAGATGTCAGATTAGGACCAATAAAATAGACGAATCATCTTTGGGTTTTATCAAGAATCTCTAAATATATAGCAGGAACACCAGACCAGATGGGGCAGCAATATTCTAAGCATAGACTAATGGTAGACACAAGAAATAAGATAGTTTCTAGCGAGAAAAATTGTATAACACGACACAGAGAACCAACATTCCTAGCAGCAGACCTAGAAATTAATTCAATATAATCTTTTCCATTTAATGCAAATGGAAATCTTTAATTGCAATAAGTCACTCTCTTGAAGATCAGCAGATTAATTTTTTATGATAATGTCAAATTACATTTTGAGTAAATTTTAAATGTTCTCTTCATTATACTTATGTACTTGTATAATTGTTATATATTTTTCTTTTCAATCATTTATGTATTAATTACTACAAGGTTTAGCCTTTTGTCATAGAAACAATGTCCTTCAAAGAGCGTTGAAATCACAAAATTTATTTCTCAACAAAGTAATTCAGTGAATATAGCTAAAATTTCATTGAATCCATTTCATTAGTGTTTGCCAAACTTTCTTGTCCATGACCCTGAACACGGAATTATTTTGACCTGGTGACCCTCAGAGCAGTAAAATAATTACATTGTCTCTTCTTTGTTTTTCTGTATATACTAATGTATAAGCTGAATTGTGACCACTGATTTTTTTTTTTGTGAAAAAACTATTTCGTATAAAACAACCCCAGCTTCTAAGTAATACTTGTAGGCCAACCATAATTCGGTTTTGGTTTGTCTGTTTAATAGCATATCAATTCCTTATGGTTCATTATAGTTCATACGTGTGAAGATATTATCTTCAAGCATAAATCAATTGACGTAATTTTTCAGTTGATCGTATGAAACACAATAGCGTTTCAAAATTCTTCTAGTTGCTAACGATATTTTTTTCCAGATACTTTGCTTCAATAAATTCATTTCGATTTTTGCCTTGAAAAATTCCACATTGGACGAAATGCGTCGGCTATACTCCAGTTTCCTATTATCTTTTTTCCTTTATACATATTTTCTTTTTCTACAGATTAATTCTGAGTTTTTTACATATATATATATATATAAGACATTTTTATGTTTATACATTCTTTTTATAGATACAAATATTTAAGTAAATGCTCTGTTTAAACAATATTAAAGAACATTTACCGGCCTGAAGGTCCGAAAGATTTTCACAGAAAATTTTCGTCCTCCGACAGGATTCGAACCTGTATCCTATACGGAACCGTCATTTAGCCTGACGTGCCTTTATCGATTTGGCCACAGAGGCGCGTTCGGTTAGCAAGGTCGAATTTACTGTATTTAAACTTCAATCTTCCATGAATCTCTCACGTACATTCATATCTGCTCATGGCGTCTCCAAATGTAAACAAATGACGTCACACATTATGAAATGGACAAAGTCCGATAATAATTTTAAAGACATTTTTATGTTATACATTCTTTTTATGGATACAAATATTTCAGTAAATGCTCTGTTTATAATAAACAGTATTAACAACATTTACCGGCCTGAATGTCCAAGAGATTTTTAAAATAATGACGGTTCCGTATAGGATACAGGTTCGAATCCTGTCAGAGGTCGAATATTTTCTGTGAAAATTTCTGGGATATTCAGGCCAGAAATCATATATATATATATATGATCGCGAGATCATGAAACTCCGTGCTGTCTTTTGACGTGTTGACGTTGTGAAACGTTTCTTGCTCTATCTAGATAATCTGAGCGATGGCCACTTTGATTTACCTTGTACGTAGGTGCTTGCCTTTTGGTCTTGTTTTTTTTTCTTTCTTTATTCGAGATTTTATTTTTTTTTTTTTATTTTTTGTCTAAGGTGTTACGTCTTCTAGCAAGTTGTCTGTTGGTCACAACAACGTAGTTGTTTTTGTCTTTCGCACACACACACACACACACACACACACACACACACACACACACACACATATATATATATATATATATATATATATATATATATATATATATATATATATATAAACATGTTTCATTGAATATTATAGCCATATTATGTCTATTTTATTTTTATTTTTATAATAATCCTTTCTAGTTCTCGAAACAATTTCTTGATGTTAAGATGAAATTCATCAAGGAAGGCACCGTAGTTTTCACTTTCGATATCCTTCGAGGTCATCTTCAGAGGTGAATTACAAAGACAAAATTGTTATAATTATTATAGATAGGATGGTGATTTTTTTAAAAAAATACACGGGTGAACGCGCTTTGTTATAATTATTATCTAATTTGACTTTTGCAGATGTAGATATGAAAAATAAACACTCGTCCCAATATAAGCGTGTTAAGTAGAAAATATATATATATATATATATATATATATATATATATATATATATATATATATTAAATAAAAAACAGACCACTTTAATTATAATAATTTATTTCACCAGAGCCCTTTTAATGGACGCCGGATCATCAGATAGCACTTCCAAAAATGAAACGAAAAATGAAATTAAAATTGATGGGTAGTGTAAGTTTTTGTAATTTAACAGAGAGTGTAAAACGGGTAATTAAAGAGACATGGTAGAGTATAGGGAGGGATTCATTTCATATCTCTCTCAATCATACTTAGTATTGGGGGAAGGGGAGTGACCAGACCTTGACCTATTTAGACGGTTAACTTAACGGAAGTGATATATTGAAATGGGAGGGGAGAAAAGAAAAATGAAAAAGAAAGAGAGAGAGGGAAGTAAAGAGAGAGAGGCTGTAATTGGGTTTTAGCAATTTAGTAAAGAATAGATTTTAATGCTTGATAGTAATTTAGATGTCTAAAAAAACGGGAAGAAATTATTGATGCTTGCTAGCAATATTTAATTTTTTTACAAATAGTTTAGGTATTTATTATAAGTTAAAAACTATATTTATTAACACATTTATAGAGAACATATTAAAAAAAACTTAAATTATAACAGTTTGTTTACCCGACCAATCGTACTTTTTAATATTGTAAAAAACAGTTACTGTAACATCTTTATCAGTTTGAATCTAATTTATGAATGTAATTTGTAATTATTTTTATATGGGTAATCTTTCTTACTTAAAGTTTAGGTTTCGAATTAAGATGGAGTTATATTTGAAGGTAATATTAAAGATTTTGTTTTCTTCTTATATATATATATATCACATACATACTTATGCAAATCCTATATATACATACGTTCATTTACATGCGTAATTACACACATAGACACACAGGTAGCGATATACACAGGTACCTATACATATTTATACATAAATTACATACACATATATTTACAAATAATTACATATATTTTTATATTTAAATTTATTTAGATTTTTGTTTAATTTCATAGATAATGTTTAACGTTAGGTGACGACTTAAGTGTTTAAATATCCAAACAAATATTTCTATCTAAAGATTTTACTATCAATATTGATAGTTAAAGATTGATATATTTAAATTTAAATTAAATTATCAATTTAAAATGAAAATACCTCCAGATGATAAATATTCAATCTCACATTTCTAATTATAGAATATTACAAGAGAAAGTGAGATCAAATGTTAATAAAAGTAATTTTAAAACTTCAATAAAATGACTTTATGTCCTTCCATTGGAATACATTCTATATATATATATATATATATATATATATATATATATATATATATATATATATATATATAAAAAAGATCTATACCCATAAGCATCCACACATGCATATGTATTTATATTACTATATTTTACATATATTTCACACATACTACAAATATTAACTCTCAAATATTTACATCTATATATATATACATATACATACATATATAGACTACATGCAATTTCATATATATATATATATATATATATATATATATATATATATAAGTGATAGAGATTTGGGGGAGTTGAATAATGTTTTATAGTAATTCATCGAATGCATTCTGCATTCTGTTGAGGATTCTTCTAGACTCGATGAATTGCTATAAATGATATATATATATATATATATATATATATATGAAAAGTGTATATAAATATAAATAAATATATGTATAATTATTTATATATTATATGCGCGGTACTTCGTGAAACCCAGGGTCACAAACTCACATCTATCCAACTAAAATATATATATATATATAAATGATATATATGAATTACTATAAATGATATATATATATATATATATATATATATATATATATATATATATATAATACTCTACACCGACAGTCAGCATATAGTGTTATACATATTTACATTTATTAATAATATATTTACTAGCTCTGTTGTTTACCATTAAAATTACACGCTCAACTATATATTTAGCTGTTTGAGTATATATATATATATATATATATATATATATATATATATAGATAGATAGATAGATAGATAGATAGATAGAGAGAGAGAGACATAAAATCTTTATGTTTATTGCTGTTTTCAGAATTTTTTGTTAGTTATACACAAATGTTTCTAATACTTATTTTGTTTTAAAAATTCAATTGCTTAAGTCCTAAGTTTTCAAAGAGAGGTCAATACAAATTTTCGCGGACATCTAATGATAATGAATTTACTGAACATTTGCAAAGACTGCTGGGTTTCCAACAGAATGACAACATTCCAACAACCATTTCTCCATTGGTTCATGTATATTGCCTGCTTCTCGCCTTTCTAACCTGCTAGACTGATCTTGTATAGATGCGTTCGGCCAACGCTGTCATTATGTGCCCCTGTCATGTAAGCAATCAGTCTTTGCTGCGTCAAAGATTTTCGTTGATTGATAACCAGAACCCCTTTTCTTATTAGGTGCCTGTGGTAATAAAATAAGCATATCCCATCTCCCCTCTCATTTGTAACCATCCATTACCATAAAATAAATGTTTTCCAGCACTAAAGCAGATTGGGTCAAATTACGCTTCTAAATAGAGTTTTTACTATATAACAGCGTTCAAAATATTTCATCGTTAGAAGACAATCAAAATTAAAGTGGTGATCTGTTTGCTTCATTTTTGATGCCATTCCTAACAAACTGTAAGTATTTGGTACAAAAAGTGTTCAACAAATATTGCATGCCCTTAGCCCTTTGAGTCCTGACCACTGCTTTTACCGGTGGTAGAGAAAAATGACTTAATGTCCAGCCACCGGTTGAACAGTGGTAAAGAAAAATGATTTAATGCCCAGCTACCGGTTGAACGGTGGGTAAACACTATTTTTATATCTACCGTGAAACATTACATACCAATTATATGCGAATTTTGACTCAGTAGCTCAGGCAGAAAGGTTAAAATTCTTCAGGAACGGGTTATTATATGTATGTATATCGTGTAACTCTCACTGAGTAATAAATTCTTAATTTCCCGTTATGGTCTCCGTCAATGTTTCCAAATAAAAATTGCCATTTACCCTCTTGATATGTTGTCCTATACAGTAGGAATTTTTTTTTTAATCGATTAACGATGTTTCGATTGCCTGTCTGTTATAATGCGCTTAGATATTCAATAATACAATAAATTTACTGACAATGAAATTAATAAAGCAGTATCTCCTTAAAGAGAAACAATTTGTGAAACTGAAAGCAGAAATGAATCCAAAATAAGCGAAAATCTTAGAGCGCATGGAAATCCTAATTGACCGTTACGATACTAAAAACAAACCGCATTCATTGACTGAACAGTTAGCATTGCCATCGATTGATTTCCCTAAGGCAGGTGTGTGTGTGTGTGTGTGTGTGTGTGTGTGTGTGTGTGTGTGTGTGTGTGTGTGTGTGTGTAACGAATGAACGGTCGCATTTTCGACGGATTTGCACCAAAATTTACATGCACATGCCCTAAGTTAGCGGGAAGGCCAACACCGACTTTGCATTTCCCAACTCCCATCGATAGTGGAAATAATCGATTTTTTCATGCTTCTACGGCAGTTTTCATGTAGTTTGCGGCCATTTTCTACTGGCCAGACTGAGAGCCTATAGCTGGCTGCCACGAATGTTAACTAGCATGCTAGCATGCAAAAAAAATCGATAGCTGCATTCGTCACAAATGGGAAAAATTTAAATCTGCATAGCACTTTACTCCAATTGGCTCATTCGCTTGCTTAAACTCAACGTTGATTCTGATTCCGCAGAACTGGGTTGAGTGTGAAAAAGTATTTGTTGTTAACATTCTTTTTTCATTCGTTTTTTCCATTTACGACTCCTTTTTTAAAGCTGATCGTTTTGTGTTCATTTTGTTTATTTCTTTTTTCGTAACAGATTTAATGTTTAGTATAGAGCTTAGAAAAAATTCGCAGTGTGAGATAGGCAAGAAGTAAGGCATGTAGCAACATCAGCACGTCAATGGGCACTCCTTTAAAGGCAAGGAAGGGCAAAAATATTTGAAGTCAAGTGATAGCGATTGCTGTATGAGTCGTACGATTTTTTAATCAAGCACGGGTAATGCTGGGCCATGCTGCTAGTTTATAATAATTAACTCTTAAAAGAGTCTTTTAGAAAAATAAACATCTAAAATATACTAGTTCTCTAGTATTAATGGAGGTTTCCTGCTTAACATTTTATTTTAATATAGTTTGGAAAGTCAATATTTTTTATTGTTTTATTAGTTTTTTTCAAGTTACATTGTTAGCCATTTCAGTTATTGTTGCTTCTGGAAGCCTTTAAACCGTGTTTTATTTTTTTTGTTTTTGTTTTTGTTAAAGCTCCTGTGATTGTGTAGCCTCAGTCTATATGATCTGACAAAGTTAAGGTCTAAAGAATTCATTTGCTTAAAACTAATTTTAATCTTAGATCTGGTAAAACCTTTACATAGTTTAACCATTTCTGAACGAGATGGACGCTATGGATGATATTTATGCAACTTCGAATAAGGGTTGCGTAAAGAATCCCGTTTCGAGCTGCAATCTTATTGATTGATTGTTCCTCGCAGTCTTTGAGATTAACTCATTGGCTGTAATACAAACAGATATTAATCGGAATTTCAAAGGTGAAAAATTAAAGCCGGTTTGACACATTAAATTTTCCGTTTAAACTGACTGTAAATAATAGGAAAAAACATTATCTTTTTTATTTGCTTTAAACGAGGAACGCAACGGATATTACCCTTTTTCGGACAGTGAAACATAGGTGTTATACGCATATGAACCTTGTTTATTTGAAGTTGGGTTAGATACATTGTCTGTGAGGCGAGAGAAATCAATCATTCTTTTCCTACAATATCCACGCCATATGACATTTATATCACACTACTGGCATCTAATCTGCTCGGCTCGGACAGATTCCTCCTCTGTTCTGCAGACCATTGTCTTTGGCGTATAATAGAATGTCTTCTTTAATGCTTCTGGCCATATTCAATGGCTCAATCAAAATGTCCTTTAATAAAACGGCCGTCATTTATATACTGGTTTCTCCTGATTCCCCCTCCGGCATAATAGCCAACGCGGCCATTTTGTCTGACTCCCACCTCCTCTTCATGTTCTATTAATCTGAGCCCATACTCAAGTCCATTACTTCTCCTCTTTTTTACTAATATCATAATTATTGTAGTCGTCAAATGTTTAGCTGATTCGTTTTGTTTGATGCCGAGTGACAATAGGAAGTCCCACACAAATTAACCTTTTTCTAACCAATAGACAAGATAGTTTGTCTTAGCAAGTCAGCAGTTTAAAGCCACGAGCAAGATAACTTATCTGACAATAACATGCTATATTTTCGCAAGATGGCAGCGTCTCTTTTTCCAAAGAAAGGAAATTTACATATTTCCTTTGACATTACAGCTTCTAGTGAATGCTTGCAGAACTTTACTTTAAAAAAACTTTTAGATATTTCCGAATAAGTGATTTGACAGAGAATGCAAGTTCCGGAGCAGATGAATTACTTACAAGATTACGATCAGACAAAAAATGGAGTATTGCTGCTATGTCTTTGCAAAAACTGTCCAATTCGCATTTAGAGAGTTTACACACATCGTGTGTGTGTGTGTTTTCTTAAAGACGAGAGACAAGGTACCATGATTAAACTATTTATTTAATTTTTCTTATGTCCGTACAAGTGT